TCCCTCTCCCCCTTCTTCCAGTTTTATAGATAAGGACTGGTAATTGTCTTTATGGAGGGTGTAATGAGTTCTGTCACCACACAAAGACGCTCACTAATAAAATAAATCAAAGCAGCAATGAATGAATGGAAAGCATGCTTTTAAAATTAGATTTGTACTGCAAGTGCCACACTGTCACTTGCAGCATGAGACAATGTTAAAAAGGCACTGAGTTGGCAAAGTACCTTGAAAGGGTCACAGAGCTCCGCTAGCAGGAATTAGGAAGCTTTCCATTGCCTCCACGCAGTACTGGTAATTGCAGCATCATTTGGGAGTAAATATTTTAAAGCATAATTAGGAAAAGAGCACGTAAAACTGATCAGTACTTGTTACTTGTTCAGTAACTCAGTTAAGTAGCTTTTCTTGTTATATCATTACATGTGTTTATGTCTTCTTCTGTGCCTGGAGTCTTGTACCAGCTTGGAGCTCTTGGCCCACTACATCATCAGGTCTGTCAAGCTTCCCATACCCCCTGCCTCTCCGGTGTACCACTCAGTGGATAAGTGCTGCCTGTGTTACTGCTTCACAAGATCTGCAGTGCAAGGGCAGTGCTCTCCTCTCTAGCTGCACGTTGGCTGCAGGGGTCTGTTTCTCACGTATCTTAGGGAAGTCGTGTTTTCAGAGGAGGTGTGTATTCACGGTGGCCCAACTGAAAGCCTTCCCTTGGAGATCAAGGGCAGGTAAGGCATCCTGGGGGCAGGCAGCGAGGAGAACAAGCTGGTGTTTTCATTCAGGCATGCGTTACACTAAACTGCAGCTGCTGGTGAACCGATAGGGCTTTCGTGATGCAGCGTGCAGTGCACAGGGTAAGAGTATGGGTTATCGAGGAGTGTGTGTGTCTGTGCAACTATGCTCTAGGTTTCTTCAGCTGCTCCTGCAGTTTTTTACAGTTCCCAGATCTGTTGCAGCTCTTACAGCCTTGCACAAACCGTTTCTGTCATAGAAACACAAAACATCCCCAAATTCTTGTTTTCTCGGTCTACCTGTTAATTTCATAGCAGAGAAATCACACTGTGGCCCTCTGCAGCAAAAAGCGCAGCAGCTACAGAATAAGAATTATTCCCAATTCCACTAGAAACTTCACATAAGCTGAGTGCTAGTTTCTTTTTTCATCTTCATCTCTTCTGTACCAGCCTCTCAAGACACAGCAGGGACAAAAGGAATGAAATTCTGTAGAAGGAGTGTTTGTCAACTTTCTTCTTGTCTCTCTCACCATAACAACGTGTAATTAAGTACCTTGAACTTTAAAAGTTGCCTGTGAAAAATATTCTTCTAACTGAGAGCAACCAACCTCCATTAAGTTACGCACAGTCAGCAAATGACTGTAATTATTAGAGCCAGGAGACAGAGCTGAAACTCCAGAGGACTTTAGTGTCAGAGCTAATAATTATGCAGCAGCCTTGGCCAAATATTTCTCTTCCAAGCTAAGTATTTAATATTGTCACTGTAGAATATTAATGGAAATGCCTGCTATGTGTGAAGCTGTTGACTAAGCTCATTGTACAGTGAACTGCGGTGGCTCAAATTAGCCACAGTGAATAGAGAGATCAAGAACACTGCAGCACCAGCAGACCTTCTTAAATACTGCTGCCTTCGGGGCATTAACAACAAAATGAAGGACAAGACAGTGTCGAGCTTCAAGAATTCAGGAAGACATTTGTTTTGCATACTGAAGGATACTTTTTCTTTAAGTATTGATTAGATATCTCTGGGAAGCACGTATGATTATATTTCTTAAACCTAATGAAGTAGATTGGCTGGTTCAGAAAACATCTCCTTTGGTTTCACTTGGACAAAATTATTACTTCCATGCTATAAATAAGGAATAAAAGAAAGTTGTTGCAGAGCGTTGGCACAGAGTGAAATCTTCTCAGATGGGCAAAGAAACTTTTGGGCCTCATCTAGATGTTAACCAAGCATCTGTGTAGTCTTCTTCAACTAGCAGTGTGTCCCAGTGACTTTCTGAGGGCTTTTTTAAAGCTAAGGATGTTTCCACCAGGCAGGGATTTCTACTTAGTTGTAAGGCTGCAAAAGCAATGAGTGCATGTCAGCAATGAAGCCATATGAGAGCAGTGATAACCACGGGAAAAAGTGGCAAGTCTCTTCTGATTTCTGGCACTTGAACAGGCTCATGAATTCCCTGGAGTGTTTTGCGTAACACATGACCTGTACCGCAGAGATGGCCTCCCTTTTACAGCAGCATTACACAACCTACACCCAGGTCTTATATGGCAGTTCAGTTTAACTATTGTGGTTACTATTGCTGTAATAACATATAGGAATTTAAACTGTTCTGCTTGCTGCTCTCTGGGTGCTTGGATTTTTTTTCTGTTCATTTCTCTGAAGAATGCAAAATTGAACTTTTTAGCCATTGGGCTTGATAGCACTTGTGCTAAATCAAGGTTTGCTGCATGGCTCTAAGCATGTAGTTACAGGATTTGAGACTAAGTCAAGGAGGGGAGGGTATTTGGGAGAGTCTGTACTTTAAAGTAAAAAATCTGGGTTAAGCTTTTTCATAACTTGAAAGTCTTTCTTTTTTTTCTTCATTTTTCTCCATATGACCTAGAATGAATATGTATCTCTGCTGTTCCACAGGTATGGATGTGTGGGGGTCGCATGGAGGACATCCCTTGCTCTAGAGTTGGTCATATCTACAGAAAATATGTTCCATACAAGGTTCCAACCGGAGTCAGCCTGGCAAGAGTAAGTGGCAATGGCATTCCCAACGACAGATGTCTGACTGAAATGTGACCACGCTGTTGTCTCCTCTCACGCCACAATGGGAGGCAAATATAGGCTTTGTAGTCCATGAATTGTACTTGTACAGTGGTCAAATTGAGCAGTTTTGCAGTGGTGGATGTGTAGCGCAAAGAGAAGAGAGCCTGGGGAGCTGCAGTCTCCTGTGCAGACAGCTGCCCTGCTCCAGACATCGGCCATTGCTAGGTGTTGGGAAGGGACTTTGCGATCAGGCGCTGGCTGTGGAATCGCCAATAAAAACAAGATACGGCTTTATTTGTATAATACTTCAGTCATTTTATAGCTGTGCTCTCCAGGAGTAGCTGGCTTCAGCGTGGTGATTGTGTTTTGGTGATTGAAAGACCTCTCAACTTCAAGCATCACAGACCACTGAATGGGCAAGCTGTCATTTTCCACGATGGAACGTTCTGTGCTGTCTTATTTCTTAATCTAGTGTAGCCCAAAGAGGAAAAAGCTTTTGCCTACCATGAACTAGCTTTCTCCAGTTAATTTCCAAATTGAGAAGGGCTTGTATTGCCCTCTGGTGGGAGAAAAAAATCATAAGAGCAGGAAGGCTGCAAAACTAAAAAACACAAAAAGGTACCCTGCTGTTCTGCAGTGTTATGGCTTGCAGAGTGTTAAAATGTTTCCCAGTTTAATAACATCGCCCTAGTTATAGATTTGGATTTATTACTCAGCCCAGCAACGACCTGTCAGAGCAATAGAGAGCTCTCCTGTCTGTGCCATCTCTTCAGGAAGGAGCTATATTTCTTTTGATTCGGTATTTGGCTCTTGCACGCTCCCGCAGTGCTGGAAGGAGATGGCGGACAGGTGTAGGAAATGCTGTTTCTTGGCATTTAAGATCATACAGTCACCTTGAGATGAACACCCGCTCTTGTTGTGTATAGGCTGCATTTGGGGCAGGGTGAGCACACCGCTCATTCTTAACATCCGAATTTTTTTGGTAGTAAATGACCACTGCTGGGCTGACCACCTTTATGCAAGTTGAGCAGTGCTGCTGGGTCGCTGAAGTCATGACTGCACGTGGCACATCACTGGGTGGCACCAAGAATGTACCCGGTGTTGCCAGAGAACAGTCCAAGGTCCAGCGGTCTCTTGGGCGTGTTGTGACAAGCAGTAGGGCGGGTATCTCGCGAGGGCGGTGTTCATTGCTGTCTTGGAATTACACAGTGGATTAAGCTTTACAGCAATATGTGAAATATACTGCTGCCAGCAAGTAAACCCTTTGCTTCTATTCTGAAGGGTCATCACCTGAAAGTTCCATGTTCCTGCAGTATCTCAGAGTTTCTCTTAAACAGCTTTTTACCCAAGAAAATGGAAAAATAGTGGTAAGAAAGAATATTGTGAACTGAAGCTTTCCAGAAGGGAGTACTGCAAATCCCATTCCTAGATGGATATCAAAGATGCAATAAGAAGGATTTAAGAAAGCAGCTTTTTGTCAGGGACCTTTGAATGTCCAGTGGTATTTACCAGCATCATTTTCTGACTAGCTTCTTTACAGAAAAAAAGGGAAAAAACCAACTTTTGATTAATGTTGTTTTTCTTAGCCACAAGGAACTAGATATAATGGCCAAGTGCCAGGATTCTGTTTTGACCTCAGCTGAAAATATCTTTCTAAAAGTCCCTTGGAACTAGAGAATAATAAAAATAATCTTCATCCTGAAGCTGGAGAGTAAGAGTGGATGTGAATGAAAATCCTCTCTGAGCAAAAACACGAGAGCTGTTCTGAATGCTAATGTCAGTGGTTTCTGCAGAGTGTTCTCAGGTGTTTTTCCCTCTCATTTTCACACGTGGCTGTTACCCACACAGAACTTGAAGCGGGTGGCCGAGGTGTGGATGGATGAGTACGCAGAGTACATATACCAGCGTAGACCAGAGTACCGGCATCTTTCTGCAGGGGACGTCGCAGCTCAGAAGGAACTTCGCAACAACCTCAACTGCAAAAGCTTCAAGTGGTTCATGAACGAGGTCGCGTGGGACTTGCCAAAGTTTTACCCACCAGTGGAGCCTCCAGCAGCTGCGTGGGGAGAGGCAAGTTTGTGCTCTGAAATCTGCGGTGGGCAAACAGGCTGTGGTTTGTTTTTTTAAAGTTGCCTTACCCATGTGCACCAGTACCGGTTTGCTGCAAGTAAGGTGGCAAGCGAGTGTTTTAAAGGTCCTGCTTGATAGGTTTCAAAGACCAGAACTCCTCTACCATTTCATTGGCCTGACCAAAGAGGGCAGTCAGGCAGCCATTTCTATTAGCGCACAGCTACAAAGAGAATAGAGACTTGGCTTGTTCTGCGTGTTGCGTATTTAGTAGAAGGCAGAACACTGAGAGGGAGGACTAGGGAGACGCGGCAGCTGAGCAGTAGTAGGAATCTTGCATTTCCAAAGGGCTACACAATTGTGTTGAGCTACTGTGCTCCTTAGCATTCCCATCTGAAAGCCAGGAAAACCATCCCTGTTTCTGGAAGTCAGGTGTGTTCTGAGGAAAGAATCACCCGAGGAGTGAAGTCGTGGATTGTTATGCACAACAACATAGTGGGCTCTGCAGTCCTGTAGCTAATGGGTTTTGCTGTGTCCTGGAGGTTATTGTACAGCTGGCGACGGGTCCCATTTTGAGTTCCCGTGCTTTCTTCTCACTGTTATCTGCCAGCTCAGATACATAGTTAAGTAAGGAATCTTAAAACTGTCTTCATGCAAATACTGCCACTATTTGAGGCAATTTAAGCCTTCTTTCCTGTCACTTGGTAAGAGTAGGAGATTCAGTGGCTAATTTACTATTTCAGTTACGCAATGTAGGAACTGGACTGTGTGTGGATACTAAGCATGGAGCCCTGGGATCCCCACTGAGGCTGGAAAACTGTGTGAAGGACACAGGAGAGGCAGCATGGAACAACGTGCAGGTAACAGTCCCTCTGATAAATCATCGGCCCCTAAATAAACCTGGGGAGGGAGAAGTTATAAGAACAAATGTTTGAGAAGGAAGGCCATTGCAGAACTCTGTCAGGCGAACAGAGCGTGCTGTGCACCCCAAGGCTCATGGGCTAATTATACTTGATGGGCTTGCAGCAGGATGTGGCTTGTGCTTGTGGCAAGGTCTGGAGCCTGGCAGACTTTGTGCAGAGCTTCTACCTCCGCTTTGAAGTTCTCAGAGTGAACAAAAGAAAGCACAAGAAAACAATATCCTAAAATAATGAAAGAAACCAGTAACAAGGCAGCTGTAATATGTAACAAAGCAAATATTAACTTCAACGGTTGTGCTGAAAGAAGTGATAGAGGAGCATCATGCATATTAATGAACCTGCAGGAGCATTCAATAACTGCTTACTATCATCCTTCTGGCAGGAGGCAAATGCATTATAAACACCCAACCACTGCTGGAGAGAGATGAAACCGGCCAGGCTATAGATTCACCCTCTCAACATATAAGGTGCCAGAAACGACAGCTTTATTGTAACAGAAGGGAAGGAAATATTAGTTTGTCTAAACTGTAGCAGCTGAGCTGAGAAAAGATCAAGAAAACAATGCCTCTATTACAGAGCTATGCATAAGTCTTCAGGGGAATGGATTCAGTAGTAGGAGACAGAGGGATGTTGCATATCAATTTTGATGCATGAAAACTAGAAACAAAACCAATTTACTCGGGCATGGTCCAAAACTAAGCTTCTGTTGTGTCAGGAGGATTGTGAACAATTAGTGTTGGCTTATGTTTAGGAGGAGAATCTGTTCTGAACTTCTGTGTCTTCAATACTGGTCTTTCTTACTGTCCCATGAGATCTCTCTGAGGACAGGACCATTCCTCCACCTGGCTCCAAAAGGAGCCCCCAGAACAGCCCTTCCCCTCAGGGACTGAGAGAGAGGTGTGCTGGCTAGTAGCCGTGCAGAACCACATTGGCTAGTGCTGGTCACAGAGGACACTTGCACCCTTGCCAGAGATGCTGTCCTTGTCAAAGCAGAAAGCAAAAGCTTAAGCAAGGCTCCCTGTCTTTAAGCAAGTTTATCTTTTGTAGGATTCAGTCCTGCAATGCTTAAAGAATGTCATAAGCCAAGCCATGATCATCAGACTGAAGATACAGCTTGACCATGCTACTGTCTCAAGCCTTGGCCAAAAGCAAATGCCACAGGGGCAGTGCAAGGAACAGAGCATGCCTGTGGTGGTACGGCCACCGACTATTCGCCTGTGGTCCAGTCCCCATGGCTCAGGGATTTCCAGGCCGTGTGTGCTGGCATCCAGAATCTTTTCATCAAGGCCACAGCATTGCCAGGCATTTATAGGTTTCGTCTCACCCAAAAGTGATGAGATCATTGCAGGGTCAGTAGAAGAGAGCACCAGGAAGCATTGCCCTAGTGATTGCCCTTCTGACACTCCATGGAGTGGGGTGGGGAGCTGTGGGCCTCCTGGTCTCTTGTCCCAGAAGGTGTGGGACAGGCTCTTCTCAAGGTGACTGCAGGCTGCCTGTGCAGGCTTGGGTATTTACTGCCAGCTTTAACTCGGAGCTCCTGTAGCTCTCTGCCTTTTTTGCTAGCTGTGAAGTGCTGTAATTGGTCAGCTGCTCACTTAATCCATGATGTATGTCTGCATTGCAGAGACATTCAAGGCTGCTATTAGTACCCAAGCTAACTAGCATGGCTGTTTGCAGCAGCACAGTCTCATTTAGCATGCTGTGTGGCAGTCCGCGGGGTAGCTGTTACAGACTCCCCTAGTCAGCAGTCCCTGTCCCCAGAGGTGGAAGTAGTTTTTCTCTAGAAGATATTGTCCTTTCCCTGAAGCCATCCCCACCCTGTGGGCAAAGAAGAGAACATCGTTCTGCTGGTGAAAGCACTGTGCCCAGTACCAGCCATCCTGACGGTCCTATTTGTCCTGGCAGGTGTTCACGTTCAGCTGGAGAGAAGACATCCGTCCTGGGGATCCTCAGCATACCAAGAAGTTTTGTTTTGATGCCATTTCCCACAGCAGCCCTGTAACCCTCTATGACTGTCATGGAATGAAGGGGAACCAGCTCTGGAGATACCGAAAAGTGAGTGTGTGTGTGCGTGCATATGCATATTCTCATTTAAGGTGTCAAATTGCCTGTAGGCACTTAACTTTCCTTAAAATGTCACCACTCATGTTTTATTCCTTCTCTTCATGTAGCTGTGATAAGAGAACCTGCAGAGAATCTGTTGTCATTGTGCCATTAACTACCCTTGATTAGAAAGAGGTGGCTCCCCTGTTCACAGAATCACAGAATGGCAAGGGTTGGAAGGGACCTCGGGAGATCATCTGGTCCAACCCTTCTGCTAAAGCAGGTTCCGCTGGTTAGAAATGGTGAGGACTGCTTCTCCAGGCCTTGCTAAGCAGAAGGACCCTCTCCTCGCAGTCCTGTCCACAGCTGGCAGTGAGGTGATGCAACACCCTTGCAAAACATGTTTGCAGAGAGGTGTGCTGTGTTTATTGGTTTGTTCTGAATAGTAGAAGATAAGGATAAGTAGATGCCAAGATAAGGATTTATTCATCGTCCTGCTAAGCAATGCTTTTGTGGCCAACAGGTAAGTAAACTCTTGACTAAATGCCGTGTCCTAGTCCTTGCAATCTGCGTGCCAGGGAGTGACCGCAGCAGGATGTGAGCCTGTAGGCTGGAGGACCTGGCTTCAGACATAGCTTCAGAGCTTCCCAGTGCAGATGTGAGGATTGGGCTGGATACTGCTGCGAGGGGTAGGAATGGACCCTGACATTTGCCAACCAGTTAAGTGTGGAATAACTTCTTCTGATGCATCCAAGTAACAAAATAGCTTGCCTTGTTTTTTAAGACTTCTTTCTGTTGGTTTTGAAACAGCTTAGCTTCTCTGCTTAGCAAACTCACATCAAATTTCTCTTCTCCAGGACAAGACCCTCTACCATCCAGTAAGCAGCAGCTGTATGGACTGCAGTGAGAGTGACCGAAAGATCTTTATGAATAGCTGCAATCCTTCATCTCCAACACAGCAGTGGATATTTGAACATACAAACTCAACCGTCTTGGAAAAATTTAACAGAAATCTTGATCTTTAAAAGACTGAGAAAATATATATATATATATTTTACAATTATAGTTTTTACGGGGGAGGGTTACAAAAATTTTTTTAAGAATACTTTTTTTTAAACAGTTAATGAAGGTAAAAGGGAGAATCTCAGGAGAAGGTTAACTAGCAGGCCAGTCTTTATTGCGAAGATGCTGCATCCTTCTCTTCTGGGGATGGTGGAATTTTAAAGGCTTTGCCAGAGCCACTTCTGTGCTGAGACTGAACAGAAACTCTGTTTTTAGAGGAGTCTGAATGTGATTCAAACTGCTTTTTTTTTTTTTGCTTTTTTTTGTTCTGTTTTATTTCCCACCTGGGTCTGGTGTTAAATGATTTTGTTATCCGGGACCCTCCAGGACTTTTTGTAGCTGCTATATTACCCGCTGAAGCATTCCCACATAGGTGCTTTATCTTCCAAAGTCCATTTAAGTAAAATCTCGAACACAAGATTTAATGCTCTGATGTCATAGACATAAAAAAAAAAAAAGGGCCATCAAACTGTAAAATGAAATGAATATTTTTTTGCCCTAAACTAAAAATATTTCAAACAAGTTGAGTATTATTACTTTCCAAATCGTAGCTCTGATAAAGGAATGAGCTCTAGTGGAAGTGCAGCCAAGTGTTGGGAATATCACTGTAGTTATTAGAGATGAGGAATCTGGGTTTCTGGTCCATTCACTTTGCAGTCAGTTTGCCACTCACTGCTGAATCTTCAAGGTGAAAGATTAGCAGAGGGTTTTTAAGTAAGCACCGTTCTCACAGGTGAAGATTTTTGCTAAGAGCCTTTGGGCATCAGGTTCCAAATTTGCCTCTTATTCAGAATCTTTTTAGCATGGACACTTCTGGGGTTTCTCAGAGTTAAATCTACTACATGAAGGCAACTTCCATGTTTCCTTTAGAGGTTTGAAGTCTAACTTAATTAACGGTTGGTGTGAGCAGATTAATTCAGGATAATTAAGTCAGGGCTGAGATTAGTCATTGGTCTTTATCCATTTGTTCCTCAGTCTGTAGTTTGTTGCAGTCATGAGTTCTGTGGTCAGTAACAGGAATGTGGGAATTGTGGGAATGTGCTATTAGTCTCTCCTCCTTTCCCAGCACCCACAGCACTGTACAGTTTACTGTGGCTGGAAACGTGTTTGCTTAAGCAAAGATGTGGGATTGATGGGCCAATTTCACTAGTCCCCTGTCCCTTGCGTAATCAGTTAGCAGTGCAAGGTATTACCCTTCTGGTTTGGCTGCAAGATCTGCCAGACACAGAACCAGAATTGTCTCATCCCAGGAACTGGAAAAAAGTACTGACACTAAAGGATGAATGGAGGACCATTGGTTTCAAGTCTATCTGAAGCAAGTGTTTAAAAAAAACCCACACTGGTTTAAAATTAAGTTGTTGCAAAACCAGATTTAATAGTTCATCCCACTTAGTCTTATACTGAAGGCAGCAGTGGCATTTTCTAGTAAAGCGGTGAATGACGGTGCAGTTAACCTTTTGCAAAGATGCTGCCCAAGTCAATAAAGCTAGTCCTTTCCCAGGAATTGCCCAGCTCCGCCGTTTGTCCAGCTGCAGAGGTAGCATGCAGCCAGCTCTAAGAGTGAAAGGCTGGAGGGCTCAGGGTAGCAGCGGGGCACCCCTCTGGGACTCCTGGTAAGCACGGTTAATGGACTTCCCCTCCTTGGGGGGGCAGGGAAGCTCTGCTCTGGGGGATCTTTCTCTCCTGTGGAGGCCAGGAGATTTTTGCCTAGTGTCAAGAAACAAGCAGGCTGGCTCCCTCTGCAGAGCTCCAGAAGTGAGAAGCCCTTTCTGATGTTGCCAGTTGTAGGACCATTGCCCATGTTTCAGATGTCTTCAAGGCTGTGTAGTGCTGTGTCCGTCAACTGGGAGCAGACCAGGACACAACTAAACTGCCCCTCAGTCTCTCAAGTCTGATGTATCGACTATGAGGTTCAAAATTGTTTCCACCTCTCTCACCCTCACAGCTGAGGCCATGTCTGACCTGTTCTGCCAACTTACCTGGCCCATGCAGTCACAAAGCAAGGGAAACACAGGCACTGCATTGCAGCTGGGCCCAGGCTTGCCAAATGGGTTGGTGTCTACTATTTTGGCAGTGAAGACAGACAGAAAAGCTCTAGGCATTCCTTATGACGGTTTGCAGCAGTATTGCTATGGAAGTGAGACCAGTGTCAAACAGAGTTGACATCTTATGTTCTCAGTAACTACGACATATCTGTCATTAGGATCCCTTTTCATTTATGGGGGAGACGGAGCCACTTTCCAGTGCTTTGTGTCTGACTGTTGCTTTCCTTAAGTTATTAATGCTCTCATTAGTCTAGTAGTGCTGACTGTGGATCGCTAGATGGCCTGACTAGATGTCTTTATGAATGTTTTAATACCTGCGGAACACGAAGCTGTTTGTCCATGAACAGTGCTAGTTTTTTATAATTGGGACACAATCAGCAAATGATACAAATGGACTGTAGGTCATTCTGCTTGCAGCTTGCAACTTTGTGTGTCTTAGTTTTCTAATGAGAGGATTAGCTTCTGTTTCTAAAATGCATGGCTTGCTTTGTACTTGGGCTCACCTTGTGAAGAGTCCTAGCTGCTTGGCTCTGCAGTAACAAACAGGTCTTTTACCACTCAATGATTTTAATTTGGAGAGAAAGGACAGCTCTTAGCAGTATGCACCAAAAGATTAGGTAATTGCTGAGGCAATTCCTGTTTGACAACCAACCACCAGTACATGGAAACTGGAGCTTTAGTGCGAGTGGTCCTACTCGGTCCTTCTCAGTGTGGTTGATCTGATCTGTTTTCTGAAGGTTTGGGATCTGAGTGGAATAAGTGCTCCACAAATTCCATATGCTTCTGACTGGCTCGCTGTGCTATTGAGCTATTAATTTATTTACATCAATTATACTTTTCAGTACCCTAGAGGCTTTGCTGACTAATGAGAAGACTTAATATAGCCAACCATCCGCTGATTGAGAAATAGAAGCTGTATTTCATCATCTACATCTTTAATTGAGCCTTTGCTGGGCAATCTGGTTAATTATTCCAATTACTTTTGGTTATTTGTAAGCAAAATTGCTAAAGCATGAATGCATAAGCAAATCTTCACATCTGCATGCAAGTCAAGACTGGAGATTAAATACTAGTGATTATCTAATGCAAAATAAATGTTTTCATATTTTTCCCCAAAAATATTCAAACAACCCTTCTCTCCAAGGCTGCATAAATTCTGCTGCTTTTAAGTATCAGAATCCCAGACAACAGGGGGATCCCTGTATGTGTGTTATGTCGCATAATAATACTTTGATTTGCTCTTGAATCTCTTGTTGATTTATACTGGTGCTAATCTCTTAGGCCTACAAACAGAGTAATAGGTTTGGGGCTCTTATGTGCGCAAGATGTCTTTTTTCATGCCTGGGAAATTAACTTTCTTTTCCACACCATAACAGAAGAATGTGTGGGCCTTACTGAAAGGGGAATACAGCATCGTTAAAATAAAGATGTGCCTTTTAAAATGTAAATGTACAGCAAATGCTTAAACTTGAACCATTTCCTAGTGCCTTGCTGGACAAGAGAGAAGAGGGGAAGGGGTTGGGAGATAAGGATGTAAGAGAAAGCTTGACTCCTGCAGTGTTTGTGTTTGTCTGTGTTTTTTTAAAATGTCTGACTTCAAGTGCAGAATTTGTGTGAACCACAGTAATTCAGAAGCTCCTGGGTTTCCTCTGTTAAATCGATATCATTAATGATGCTGGGGGGGGTTTGTCACTGCTACTAAGAAGACTTGGAAAGGACAGCAGCTTCCTCTTGGTGCTCTGTAGCAACTAAAGCTGAACCAGAGGACGTCTTGGTTAGCTGTTGGATGTTTCACCTCATGGTGAAGGCTCATGCATTTCACCAGCACACAAGAGCCTGCATTTTATTTTCTAATTACCCAAATCAAAAATCACAAATAGTCCCAAAGGGATATAAAATCTGTACCAGAAGTGTCTTTCAGAAAGTCGACACTTTCCATCAGTGGGAAACTTTTAAAGGGTATGTTCAAATCTCTAATACAGAAGTAGCAAGAAAGCAATTCCTCAGCTTAACTTCCTGGTTGGTTTTTCAGTAGTCCATGCACAGGGCTTTGCTTTCCTTTACGGGAGAGTTCCAGTCAGCAAACTTTCCTCCTCCCTGCTGCGCTGAGACATCAATGTGCTGAGAGTCAGACAGGCACCAC